TTATGCTTATGTATGTTACAGAGTAAGCCACCGAGGTAGCTGGGTATGCAATAATGCTAAGATGCTATGCATGAATGTGTACAAGGAGCTTGACCGTACAATAGCAGCTCCGGTCTTCCTATCGTCCACATGATTCGTAGTATGTCCTCTTCATCTTATCGAGTCTCGCCTCCTGTGGAACAATTTGTGTGTCCACTGGCGAATTCTGCTCAGACAACCAACCTTTTCTTCCTGCTGCGTGTCTAGTTTCTCTGCGTCGTATACCGGCCTTGGCGGCTCTTGACTATATACTGTTGCCAAGCCCTCCATCCGGTCACTCCTTCGTTTCATGAAGGCTCTTCCAGTAGACATTGCTCTCGCTGGCATCGATTTTCCATGTGGATGTTTTGACAACGATGGGTCATGTAGGCTGTCTGGCGGCTGCGATAGATTGATTGGGCTCGTCGCACGAGAACTGTCTCCATCGTAAGATGGAAAAGTTCGTCGTCGTGATGTAGAACACATGTTTGCGCTTGCCGACCGGCAATGAGATGGGATCGATCTCGCAAACTTGGGATTCGCAGAGGCGGGCCAACCTTGTTGATGAAGTCGAATCCAACTCGCAGTAGCGATCATCAGCGCCTTTTGCTCCGGAAGCACTTCAAGTGTCGCTCTCGATTCTGGATTGAGACCTGCAGGAGACGGGCTCCGGTCGACACCTTCCGCTTCCGGCACGAATGAACGGGTCGGCGGAAACCGACCACTGGAAGTTGACAAAGTTGTGTAATGATCATACACCTCGACCGTCTCTGATGTCAAGCTACCCATTATGGGATGCCTCCTCGAAGAAGGGTCAATGATGCTGAACGTCCATCTAGAGTCAGGCAAGGAATCGTGGACGCTAGATCGCGCTGAAGACGACGGTTCGAATGAACCAATACTATTGCGGGTAGAGCCATTAAACCGTCTAACCCAGCGTGCAGTGGTTATTTCACCGCCGTCATCTGTTCTTGTGAATTCATATGAGCCATTCGCCATAGGTGAAGCATACCACGGGACCCCGTCCTCAAGAACAATCTCCGCTGAGTTCTCGCAATCTTCTGGCAGAGCACTAATGACAGCGTAAATATCTCTGCCATGTAGACTCCGTCTGTCATCGTCGGATCTTTCTGGTGCCATTCCTGATGTTGAAGCGTAATCTTCGCTACGAACTAACAGAACATCATTCTGGCTTAGCTCAGCATTTGCGTGAAACATACGAGGAAATGTTTTGGACAATTTAGGAATTATCAAGGTTCCTGCCACTAGTTGAGATGGAATCAGGTCAAAGGCAGGAATGGCTCTTCTGTCGCCAATTTCTTGGAGTTGTAACAGTAATCGAGGCCGGATCTGCAGAAGTCGTCTCTGCTTGGTACGGAGCTGCGGTGCTGGTTGGGCGAGAGCATACCTGGTCGATTTGCGAAGTAATCGTCTGCGCTTCTTACGGCGTGCTGGGGAGTCGGAGAGACCGTCCAGAGGCTCTGGCCCAGCTATGGATTCTTCATCCTCGCTAGCAGACGGCGTATATATATGGTCCATTCCGGGCTCACGGAATCTTACAGCAAGGTCTTTCCGAGTGTAGCTATTGGAAGCCGCACGCTGTTGCGATAATAAAGATGGGCGTTGGTTGGCCTCGTCGGTCGATGCTCTGAGCGGGGCGTGTAGGCCTTCAGAGTAGGGTGAGGCAAAGTAGCCCGTCTCGCTCGATTCAGAAGGAGAGACGAGCGGTCGGAGGGTCGACTTCAGTATTGGCAGTCTTCGGGGTGGCTGTACTGGCGCAGACGTCGACCTCTTAATCGAATATTCGTGACCGTGTAAACTAGCTCCAGAGTGGAGAAACATGGTGTTGCAATGTATTCTGATTCCTGATCACAACTAACGGAAAGCGACTGGCGCCATGGGAATTCGTGATATGTTGCTGGTGACTAGATGGTTCGTCGCGTCGAGTGAAGAAGTAGGTGAGGGTGGAGGGAATCAGTCGTGTTATTCGGTACCCACGGAGCGTCGTGATGCAGTAATGACCGACTGCAGATGGAAGTAGAATAGACAGAAGGAAAGGCTCGGGCTTGCGATTGAATTGCAGGGCCGACGGGAAGCTGCCCAGGCGATGAATCGGGTTATGGAAGATAATCTCGGACACTGCAAAGGGGCCAGCCACGATGCATCCAGGGCTAAAAGAGGCGTTTCGGTGAGCCGCTGAAGGGGCGGATCTAGTTACTAGAGATGCCGTGGCGTAGAAGCAGAAGGAGAGTTGGATTCAGGTGTCGATAAGGCTCGCATGTCAGTCAAGATGAGCAACATTGGAAGGCGGCGTGGGTGGTAAGGATCCAGACCGAACTCCGTAGACAAGGTGACAGCAAATCGAGGGTCGTACACGCAGTCAGCAAGGGAGGCTGTCACACATGCGAATAGTCCTTTGTACTAGTAATACTCCGTGCGAAGCGGCAAGTCCCTTTGACCTCCCCGGCAAGGAGGGATGCGAAACGGACGAGTGCCGTGTCAAGTGTGCTTCTATCAGAACGAAGGTGTTCGGCAGCGTCGCCGTCGTCCTGCGGCAGCGTGCATGGGACAGCGATGTGCCGGGGCGACATAGAATTCTTATTCTGGCTCTGGGACCCGATAATGCATGATGCTCGACGATGCCCCTCTTCCCGAGCTTGCCGGCGCACGCGACAGGGGGGCGAAAGGGATGTGGTGAGAGACGGTGGTGGTGGTGGTGGTGGCGGCGGGTACTGAGCCACGAGAGATGGGCCCAGCTGGCTGGAAAATTGGAAAGTCGACGTCTGGTCAGCTTACGGTCTGAGGCAGTAAGCGAGTGCGATGATGACAGCTAAATGATTCAGTTCGGCACGGCCCTACTCCGTACGCGGTATGATGCGCAAACCACACGACTTTTGCGACAGAGTGATTTCGTGGGTCGAGAATGGCCTTGCTCGCGGAGCCCGAGAATCAGAACATGGACATGGAGATATTTGAGTAGTAGTACGAGTACGGAGTACGGAGTAGATATTCGGAAAAGGGGACTTCCCGCTTTTTGCGGAGCCTACTGTGCAGGGGCCTCGAGATGGGAAGACCGCCGGGAATTACGGAGTACGGGGTACTTGAGTCCCCCCTGAAGACTTGTCTTGTGACTGCAATTGAGATTGAGGATTGAGAGCTCTTGCCAACCTGGAACTGCCAAGCTGCGTGCTTGCTCGTAGGCTTTGGCAAGCGCGCACTGTGGGACCTTTCACAACAAACGTGTCAAGCTGGTGCCACAGGGAAAGTCCGCCCCCTGCCCTGCTGGCCCGCCTCGATGTCCGGTCCTGCCGCCGCGATTCAATCGATGCGGGTTGCATGGCACAACCTTGACAGCGGACAAGCAACTACCAGTCACACATTATCCAAGACAACAACATGATTGCATAGACTCGATGTATGCCCATATTACCATTGTGAACAATAGTGCCAGACATTCAGACACCTGGCTCATCATTCCCACGCGTGCTTGGGCCAGTCAAGTTGCGGAGCGATGCTCAGGTGGTGGCCCAACCGGGAATGGTCAACTCTGCGCCTTCTGTTTCTTGTCGTTAAATGACAAACCTCGCTCCGAGAGAGATAGGAAACGTCCTCTCCGCACTTTGGCGGGGAAGGAGCCTTCGGCAGCTGCATGTAATGCCAGCACTTTGGCTTATACATGTACACCGCACTGAAAACCAGCTTACTGATGGGAACCGCCTGAGTTTTCGTTTTCTCCTCTGAAGAGCGGCCTCATTGAAGGACCATTAAGACCTTAGCATAGACAATGCAATTTTGTCCAAAAAAAAATCAAAAAAAATCGGGACGGCACACTTTGTCCCAAGCTTATTCCATCTCGGACTTTCAAGACGTCCCTGGCTACTTAGAATTCTGGCGGTGTCCGTGAAGACGCCGAAGACCGATTGTGGGGCTGCATCAGTCGGTCTGAATCGCGTGAGCAAGCCACGATTGAAGACCTGCGACTCTTGCGGGAGGAACCGCTTCTGATGTCAATACTACTGTGCAGAGAAAGGGGGGAATAGGCGTACGGCTGAGTGCGTGCTGACCGCTCGCGGGAAACGCAGCATGTACTCCGTATGATGAGATGCAATGCGACGGAGGGAAACGCCGAACGATTAAGGTTGCTCGCGCCACAGGAAAAGCCCGAAGGTCGTTCTGAAAGTGCCTAGCCGATAAGATTCGTCTACTCCGTACTCTGTACTCGCTCGCTATATTCGTCGCCCAGTTCCTCAAACTAACTATCTGTGTCACCTTGTCTATGGGAGTACGGAGTAGTCAGTGACTGGATCGACCTGGTTTTGCCCGTGGCTCGTTGCTTGTGGTCGTATTCAGCCCAGCAGTGGGTAGCGTCACCGCCAAATCCCTTTGCCAGATCGCACGTCTTCTCTTGCGCGCCCAAGAGACTGCATACTCCCATTCATATGTAGACGCCTAGTCTGATCGTCTTCGCACATGTGAACACCAGGTCAATACACACGCGTACAAGCTAATATGAAAGGGCATAGTTATCCAAGTCTATTACCATGGCCATCTAATTGCGCCGCCCATCTAAACAGAATAGATTCCGGCTTGCTATAGTAACGCCTGCTTTCCTCTGGCATATTCATAAACCAAATTCGTGGTGTCGGCCCAGACAGCTGGACCTGCAGATGCCATTCAGGGAAATGTCAGGATGATCCTGTCCCACTTTTAACTACCCGTTCGGGTACCTGCCATGCTCACATTCTCTAGGCCCACTCTCCTGCAGGTCCCAGTTCAACGACAACCTCAATCTCAAATCTCGATTTAGATACCACGCCTTTGACGCCGCGTCAGTATTGACCACTTCATCTTGCGTCCGACGCCTTCAATGTTCTGAAGTAGAAACCACTTGGCTATAATTTCCCCAAAGCAACGAGTCATCATGCATATGAGCTGCAGTCCGCCATAGCCTACCGTCATCCTCTGCCACCACTCCCGTCATCATGCATCGCCAGCCCTTCATCCCAGCCCGCAACTCGCGGCATCGCATCGCCGCACTATCCCTCTATCGGGCTCTCCTGCGGTCAACAAGGAAGATAGACGTGCCGAAAGATGCGCAGAGACCTGCAAGGGACGCCATGACACGTGCCGTCAGGAAGGCCTTTGTCAGGAATCGGGCATATACAAGCTACAGACTGGTGTATGCTTCCATGGTGGCAGGATACAAGGTACTCCGCATCTGCAACGCCCTCTTCTCACGCCAGTACACAAGTCAGCCGGCTAACAAAACGCGCAAAGTTCCTATCGCTCTTATTCACGGCGCAAAAGCCAGGTTGCCCGGAGCACACCCAGCTCATTGAGCATCTTCGCCGTCGCGGCGACCTTAACCCGTCACACTCCAAGCCAAAGGACACCGTCCGACGGCCCCGTGAGCCGTTTCTCAAAAAGGTGGCCGGGCATGATGACGGGCACCCAGTCTACAAGCCAACTTACATCCCGCATAGTTTCAGGTACCGCATTCCGTCCGTCTCCGCCACAGCAGACGGCCAGCCCTTTCTGCGCCTGAAAAAGCCCCAGCCAAGAGCACTCTCCAAAATGATTGGTGTAAAGGGGCGCATATTCATCAACAAGATACGCAAGCTGGTCGAAATAGACGGGGAACCGCGCTGGAATGCCGCGCAGGAGGACCAGTGGGATGAACTCATGGCGAAGCAGATGAAGGCCGAACGAGTGCGTGGTGAGTCTGAGCGTTCTGGTGTCAATGGAGGTGGGCAAAAGGCTTCCGAGAGCTCTTTTTCATGGAGTGTTCAGTTGACGAGATTATGGTGGGAGTGGCAGGTTGAGAGGACGTGGAGGGATTGGAATGCGCGGGGCGAGGCGCTGCACCAAGTTGTTGAAGAGCAGAAGATACAACTGAGACGGGAGGATGCTGCGGATTCGGGGACTTTGCAGAAACGCTCATTGAAGGCTGGAAGAATGCCGAGCTCGCGTAACCTGGATACACCGCCGAATGTCGACGTTTATCCGGCCCGCCCTTATCCCCTGACGGCATCTATCCCCGCAGCCCTTGCCAAGCAGACGGGTCGTCAACAAATGGGTGGAACGGGAAAGTCTGTCGACCCATTTACAGAACCCGCGTGGAATGCGTTGGTGCGGGCTCAGAGCAACCGGCTGTTGAAATGGGCTGGTAAAGGGGCAGCTAGCAAAGAATAGCCTACTCGGTAACTAGTATGGTCACGACATCATTCTCCAGCGTTCGAATGTAGAATGCTTTGATATTTAAGCGCAGGTTTCTTGTATAATAAACGGAGCATGAGGAGCTCGTCATTTCCTAACCTGCCATGTAAAATCTGGACAGTATCAACTATGCGCTGAAAACAATATGAGCGTCTAAACTTTTTGGTATCATGATCCGCGTCACCCCAATATCTCCTCCTCTTTGGATTTATTGTTCCAAATTTTCGTCGTTATAAGCTCTACTTTTGTGTGGCTTGCCGTTTCTTTTCAGATTTGGCCACATCAGCCCAGCTCTTCATGGGCTGCAATGAGGGAGGCGGAGGCCTTGAAGTAGCGTTCGCATCGCCGCCATCCGTAAGAATATCTGATCTGAGCGTTCGTGGGGATGACATGGCAGACGGTGACATGGGCGGCACCGGGCTGTCGGGTGTGGCGGGCCTCAGGGCTGTCTCATCAGTTATGCGAGGGCCACGTCTACCCCCAAGCTGGCCCCATTGAGGCTGCGCGTTCTCACTAGACACGTCTGCACGCTGTATGATGGGGCTATCATGAGCCGGTGGAGTAGGTAGTGTCTCGAGACTCTTTCGAGAAAACACAGATGAAGCCATACTACTATCCGTCATGCTCTGGTCGCGGTTGAATACTGGCGTGTTGGTCCGGCTCGGTGTGACAGGCAAAGGGAGCTTGGACCCTGATCCCCGCGAGCGCAGAGCGTAGCCTGCCAGGTTACCGCTGATGCTGGGCGAGCGCTGGCCGGCCAAGGATTTGGCATCTGATGACTGTGTTACGGCTGGGCTGCTTTGAAGGGTTCGCATCTTCTGTGTGAGACGCTCTGAAGGAGTACTTGAGATCGACTGGGAGCGCTGAGGGGTGTGCTGTGGAGGGGGTTTAGCAACCGTGGTTTTCGGTGTAGTCAAACTAGATCTGTTCAACCCGAGTCCAACACCTTGAGTCGTTGCAGATCCAGCTGGCTGCCTTCGCCCACCCGATAAAACTGGCCGAGGGACATCATGGCCATGAGATCCTCGCGAGCTATGGGATATCTTGCGACGGTCTGTCATCTCAGATTCCAGCCTCTGACATTTCTCCTCTGCGTTCTTGAGCAGCGTTTGTAATCTTGAAATGTCTTGTTCATGTTTCTGTCGTTGTTTCTCCAGCCTCGTTTCGTACGTCTGATCTTTGCCCTCCAGCTCCATAATCCTCTTGCGCTGTGCTTCATTTTCCTTCTGCAGGGCAATGAGGCCGGCAAACTTCCTATCCCACTTGTCCTCAACCCAGGATATGGGCCGCTTGCAGCAGTCAGCGTGGTAAATTTGGTTAATTCCGCCGAGCATAGACAGTTTTTCATCGACTTTCGCAGCGGTCAATCTGTGTCTGGGGTTGGTAGCCACCATACGGGATATGAGGTGTGTTAGTGGTCGTGGCCGCACTGTCTCTTGCCCTTCATAGGTAAACATAAATGGTGGCCTGACCAATGCATGGGCTGTAAGTCGATCTAGGTGCATCTTGACTCTGTCCTCCCTGAGCCGTAATTGTTCTTCACGGGATAATCTTCCTGAGTAGCTTAGAGCTTCGTCAAAATCCGCCAATCTTGCGTCGTATAAAACGGTCGCAATATTGAGGTATACTAGGCCAAGTGAGTACATATCTGACAGCTGCATGCTGGAGCCATGTTCCCCGTATAATTCAGGGGCCCGCCACCGTTCAGTGCCGGGCATACCATCTGTTGTTGTTTGCTCCTGGCCAGTGACATCTCGAGAGATGCCAAAGTCTGCCAAGTAGACTCGACCTGGATGCAATAGAATGTTGGACGGCTTGATATCAAGATGTCGGACGTTGTTCGCATGGCAATGCGCCATTGCGCGGGCCACACAGCCAATAATTGTGCGCAAAAAGTCAAACGGGCACGACTCAGATATCGGGGTTAAATATTGATCTTTGGCCATTGGATCAATTGCGCTCAAATCTCTGAGGTCCAGAGCCGTCAAGCGTTCAACAATGTCTTCGCGGTCTCCCTCCTTCAAGCGCAGGCTTTCGACATCGTCCAGCAACCTACCAAGGTTGCAAACAGCGGCCGGCCATATCAAAAGGCACAATTCGTGGGACCTCGGAGCGTACGTCGCAACCAACTTGACCACATGGCGGTGATCCAACTTGCGCATCATCAGGCCTTCTTTGCGCAAGTCGTCAATGGAAAATCCTCGGCGCCTCGGTATGCGCTTCCTTGCTAGGCAAACTGAACCGTGCATGACTTTGTCAACCCTGCCGAATGCGCCTTGATCCAAGTCGTGGAGCTTCACCAGTTTGTTGTCGAACTTTTTGGCCTCGGGGCCATCGAAAAGTGGCTTGTTTCTATATTGCGCATGGAATCATGTCAGTTGGGCGCAAAGATTCGCATCGAGACGTAATTCCGGCAGGGCATTCTTACATGCTGGGCCATTGCGCATCACTGTCCCACGCAGCAATAGCTTCAAGGTCGGTCAACTCTCGCTGCATCATCCACTCACGGCCAGTGCCAAGCTGATAACCGTGGCCCAGAATTCGATGGCCAACCGTTGTCCAGCCATTTTCGCGATCACCCATAATTCTGCTCCCTGGCAACCAAAACAAATCAATCCAGTCGTCCACTGCGGCCCGCTGCCACTGTCAAGAAATGCGGGGAGCGGTTAGCCTTTGCGCAAGCCCAAGACTAATCGGCGGGTTTGAGGTGGTTGTGGTTGTGGTTGGTGTTGTGATTGTGGAGGTTGGCTTGGTCTGGGGAAAGGAGGAACACCAAGTCGGTGTCGAAGTGGCCTACCCTACAACGGGCATACCCTGGTACAAGTGAGGCTAAGTGGCTGCATGTCAGAGTATTTACCAATAAACGGAGTCCAATCGAGGCGGAGCAAGAGGCGTTGAGGCTGAGCAGACACAACCTCATCAGAATTGATATTTCGACAGACACCACATAACCGTCAATGCTCAATTCAATGAGGCCGACCCCTTGCCCAGCTTCTCTCAAGAGTTGCCTCTTTACAACAAGCTGTCTATTTTCGGCTGTACATTAACGGCCGAAGAGGCTCCTGCTTCTCGCTCCGCTCTCGTTCCGCAAAATCAGGTATAGGGCGATTGGTGAAAGCGGGATCGATCGATCTCCCTTGACGATGATACTTCGTAGGGCTCTAAGTTACCAACGGCTCCAACTTGAATGCGACATGATGCAAATGTCCCGGGATTAACTTAGAGCGCGAGGCGCGACATCTATTGTGCGGAATTCAGAGGGCCTGGGTCTTCCTCGGGTTTGTTTTCATGAGCGAAGTTCGAGCAGAGAGGATAGATGGAAACAACTGGCTGTTGCCGCTAAAGCTTTGCGACCCGCTCCTCTGGGACGGTGATGAGTCGTTCTACGTAATCCCAGCCTACATGGACTGAGAACTGTATTGCACAATGTGCCCTGAACTTGGGGACGCGAGATACCAATGGGTGCCCGGTAAGGGAAGTCTGTGGTGCCTGGTGCCTGGCATTGGATAGGGTCATCTGAAGTCGCTTCTCTGGCAAATGCCGGGAACCATGTCGCATGTCTGGTATGGGATGGGATTTCACAGAGATGGAGGCCGAATGCCCGTCTTTCAGACGGTCCCAAGCTTGCCAAGGTCCCCTCCAACTTCTCCTCGTGGCTCTCAGCCACTCGGCAAGCCCAGGAAACTTTGTGGGGAGTGGTGCCTGCGGCGAGAACGGTCCACCAGTTGACCTCTTTATCAATGCGTGGCCATATAAGATCCACCAATGGGACGAGGGCCATGGCATTTGAAGGTCTCTAGACGCTACATCATCCGACGAATGTCGGTATACTAGCCTGATGGACTGGAGGATTGGCGGACAAGCGGCGGCGTGCTTTCTGAACTGAAGGTGGACGAGCATATCATAGCTTCTGCATGTTATGACAAGATTTCTTCGCCATTGATTGCCAATTCCCATTGCCATGGCTAGGGAAAAAAAAGGGACAGGGGGATAGGAATTCATCTCGGGATTTTCAAGACATCATGGCAAGTGCCGGCCGGAAAGCTTCAGAAGTTGGGCTAGTGGTATTTGTCATTCATGCCGGTTAAGGAATTTTAGAAGCCTAGTGAGCAAGGCCAGTTTGAACTGTGACTCCAAGAGACGGAATCTACCACTGAAAGACTGTCTTTCCTTCATCAGACTTGGACCGCAAGCTTTGAGCGGAAACGCGTGGTTGTCCAACACATGGAATAACACTTACAACTCTGTCTGCCCTCCTCGTGAAAGCTATCCTGGCAAAACATGTCCGGGTGTTGCTTTTGACAGGGGAGCTTATGCAGCTAGCAAACCGGGCATCCCTGCATTTGCCCATTTCTGCCAAGGTGTCTTGACGAGCTGTACGACAGACAATCATATTGTATCTGCCAGGGCCAGCGGGTCTTTCTCGATCGTTGGGACAGGGAAGACTGTATCGAGTACTACGTACTACTAATAATGCCTTGCAGCGATGAAACCAACACTCCGTAATACTAGTAGTACTATGTACTAAGACTTTTCAATCTTCATCGTACGGAGTACTCCGTAATCTCTTCTGAAGCGATTCGTTGCCGGGGCCTTGCATGTCGCTTTGATGCCTTCTTATGCCTTGTTGGAACGCCCATGTTGACTGAACTGACAGCCCTAGGCGGATGGCATGGGATGGATGTTGCATCACGAGACGAGCTCCGCCAACAAAAACAAACAATACTACTACTCCGTACAAGTCTGTGGTATTGGCGCCCCTGCCTAAGCCTAGCGCATCGCGAGGCTCAGATTCGTGCCGTCCGATCATGTTACTGACGGCGAAATGGCGGGGAGGACAGGAGGTCATCGGTACAAGGGCTCCATGATCGATCTCTGACGGTCTCGCAGGCCAGTTCTAGCTGCCGAGTCCACTGCTAGCTCGTGCGTTACACAATACTTGTCGCTGTCTGGTGTGGATAGCGTCGCCATTCGCTATTTGCTGGTTGCCAACGCCATTGGGAAAAGCTTAAAGCCGTCAACACCGACAAGGATACCCACCAGAGAGACCAGAGAGGGCTTGTTTCTTGGTGGCGCCGCGAGTGGAACGAGGGCGACTCCGAGTTCATCTGGCAATAGTTTAGTCTAGCTTAGCTGGGCTTGGGTGGTGAAGCATGATGAAGGACGATGGACGGCTCTACTGGCCAACACACCTATCGTGGGGCATACCTGGCGCACAATGTCGGAGCCTTGATTGCTTCTTCCAGGCCAGGCTGGCCATCCTTGGCGGGCACATGCATCTGAAGGGTTAAGGGGTGCAATCATGAACCAAGATGGAGACATGGACGGACTCTAGGTGCAGGTTCAACTGGTCGAGGTTAGGTCTAGGTCGGCTGGTGGACCGCCTGGGCTGTCGTCCATCCCGGCGGCTCTCTACTTCAACTCCCCCCCCCCCCCCCCCCCCTTCCGCTGCCAAGTCCATCTCCACGCCGCTCGTATATCTCTACATCTTATCTGGGTCATCCTCGTTTCATCCAACAAACCACTTCCATCGCCTCTACAGTTTGAATATTTACCCGCTCCAGGTCCCTACAGCCTGGGAATGAGAACCGCTGCTTGGCCTTGTCCTTGTTCGCTCCGCCACTCCCCACTCTAACCATTAGCCATCGCGCATTCAGTCTGCCTTCATTCGACCCGAACAAGGAACTCGTCTGTCAACCGTGTGGTTTCTCTTTCAGCTCATGCATGGCGTTTCAAACGGGCAGCTATCCAAGTCAACACCCGCGAAGTTCCCTCCAGCGCTCACGCCAGCTTAGTGACGGCTTGTTTCGGAACTATCAATCGTTACATCTTTTCCATTTCGCCAATACCATCACGGCACAGTGTACGCCCTCGCTGAAACAATAATAACGTGTTCTGCGCTGGACTTTGCGCGTATCGCCTTTGCTCCCAGAGGCTGCGGCCGGAAACCCGGAACCAAATGGCGACTGCTGCTCCAGTCGTCCCGGAATCGCTGCCTTTTCATAACCGTTCCCCGACTGGCGCTGGCTGCAATCATATTGCAATGAACAATTCAAATCATGTGCCCAAGATAAACGCTGCCTACAGTTCCAACACGTCGCCCCTGTCGACCATGACAACGAACCCAGCCCAGAGTGTGACTAGTCCGCCGCCCGTCACTGGCAAACGGGCAAGAAATTCAGATGAAAGTGATGTCAAGGCAGGACATGCCAGTACAACAGAAGAAGATGGACGCAAGAAGAGATCCAGAGGCAGGCCCAGGCTAGATACTAAAGACGAAACAGCAGCCGACGTGAGCCACTCCCGCGCCCCCCTTTCCCGTCCCCTATTCCCCTTACTATTGGGTGACTACTACCGTTATATTTCATGTATTATATCATTGGGCATATCGGGTTGATTCTAACCAACTATTTACAGCGTCGTCGTACACAGATTCGCCTCGCTCAACGAGCATACAGGCATCGTAAAGATACTACCATTACCACATTGGAGCAGCGTGTCAAGGAACTTGAAAAGGCCAACGACGATATGAGCAAAGGATTCAATGATTTTTACGATATTCTTCTCTCGGAGCGTGCTCTTGAAGCCGTGCCACATGCTGCCCAACAGTTGTCGGCTATTGCCAACCGGATTTCCACTGTTGCCGATAAGGCAAGAAACAACCCTGGAGAGGGCAGCTGCTCGGAGGACAGTGACGAGCATCCCGTCTCTAATCACGGAAACCATCCAAACCTACAATCAGTGCAGGCTACAACATCTGCTGCCACTGCCATGCCAACGAACAATGGATTCCACTTGGATACATCACAGCAAGCCAACATTCTTGGGACGTCTACTGGATCTCCTGGGGTGCCTGGCACCGCTGTAGCTACAACCTCTGGGCCGATGATCCATGTGCCTGCGTCGCTCAGCTACGAAGTTGTCACGGCGGCGACCCCGGATAATGCGACTTTCCCGTTCTATTCTTCGATGGAGCCCACTATTGAGGACGGCTTCAATACAAACCTGCCTGCTAGCCACTCGCCTTACTCCTCGATGGCCCCGCCGTTATCGTACGCCTCCAACGAACTGACGTTTGGTCGTCGCCTGCAGCGCCAGACAACTGAAAATGGACTGCGACTCATCTCCATGTCTAATCCGCCCCCAGATAGGTTTGCTGCCGTCTTTGGATTTTGCTTGTTTTTCGAGTCGAAAGCGGCCATTATTCGGCGTTTGCAGCTTTCACTGAGCCGAAATCAACATGAGGACCTCTCCCATTGGAGATTCCCATTCACCAGCCTCGGCGGCGCCGGTACATTCTTCCCGCCACAACAGTCGATCGAAGGGACAGGCGGGGACCCAATGGCCATGCCCATCGGAAACCAAGGCACACGGTCGTACGGAAAACCCCAGGAAATGACGGGTCAATCAATGGGACCATTTAGCCCCGAGGTGCAAGCAACCCGTGACGAGCGAATTGACCATAAGATGCGGATGATGTGGCCTGGATTTGAAGGCGAGTTTTTCGACCCAGATGAGGTGGAAACATATTTGCGCCAACTGGGCATCTTCATTCCCCAGCGCGCCGAGTACGTGGAGGCTGATGTCGACCTTGGCGATCTGGACCGTGATGGGTCTTCGGCGAGAGCCAGCTGTGACTCGGCCATGATGCCAAATGGACAGCAAGCAGGATTTGCAACTGCAGATTCCGGATACGGGGGCAGCAGTCACAGTGGGACTTGGACCAACAGCAGCAACAGCCCTGTCTCGGGGTCGACGGACGTTTCAGGCCCTCAAGTCGCTGTAGACGTGGCTCAACAGCCTGTGATGGGCCTGCGAGGACACGATGGCGGAAACGAAGCAGCGGGCGACTATGACCATGGGATGGCGAACTTTATACTACATTCTGGGCCTAGCCAGATGTGGTCGCAACCCATGGCCTGGGCTGTCAAGTCCAAGATTGGACTTAATGTGTCCCTGCTGATCCAAGGTAGGAACAGACAATTCTTGTCAGGTTTGTTTGATATAAAAGGCTAATTAAAAACGTAGAAATATCGAATCACTCGGTTTGCTTGGGACGTAGTCCTGGTGTTCGACGAAGGGACGTGAACAAGGCGGTCAAAGTTGCGGCCGGTTTGGCTGCAGTGCCGGCTTAAAACAGCTTGGTTGTGTCTTGACGCACTTTTCCTTCTCCCCATATTTCTTTTCATTTTTTCATTTCGCTTCTTTTTCTCAAACTCAGCTTTGAGACTGGGGTTGCCAGCTCCAGTGAATGGTAACAACAGGTTTTGTTGGATATGAGTTGGCTGGGGCAATGGGAGTCCCCCAACAAGGAAGACTTGGTGGCATCTCAAGCATTGGGGGAGTTTTGGGTATGAAAGGCGGCTAGGCTTTGAAACTCATACGGCGTTGCATAGGACTTGAAGTATTTTTCGAGGGCAATATGACGGACGATACATGGGCATGTTGTTGGCTTTGGCAGGCATGGGCACAGAGTGTGCTGACTGAGGATTTGGAATGAGGGCAGTTTTGGATATACCCCGGTACTATATACGAGACGTATTATGGCAGAAGCATAGAGCATAGGGCCATTAATTAGGTTGTGGAATTGATAAGGCTAATACCAACCTTGGATGCGATAGAGGTCAAACTCTGGAACCGCCCGGTGATAATGGCCACTCGGTCTGTTGTCTGTGCGGCACGGCGGGCAAGCTGAATGACGTGCGTGCTCGGGAGCAGGACGAGTGGTGATTCGCCACGCCGGCCGAGATGGCCAGCGGCACTGGCAAACCCCGTGGTGATCCCAATAATAGGACAAAATTGCTGGGACCGGCCGATGGGCAGTCTAAACCCAAGCCGGCGAGGGACATTGGAGCGTCATCCGTGCCTCGTGGGCGACGCCGCCCTCTGATCCCCCCCCCCCTCGTGGGCGCGTGGGAAAAAAAAGCAAGGGCCGCCCAGGCACGGCCGTGATGTAATTTACTCGATTTCATCTGGTTCAATGTTGTTGGCGGGGTGCCCCCCACGATGCAGTGATGCCATGGCCTTTGTGTCCTCTGGTCCGATGGGGACCGAGGCACGGTGTACTGGAGTAGTATTGGCATTTTTTAGCCAGCGGTGGGAGGTGGGAGGCGTCGCAGGTGAGGGGAGATGAAGTCAGTGCGCGCGACTCGTCCGTGACTAGATGCGTGGTGAAAGAAACAAAGAATGCCGGCCTGCTTGTGCCATGGGCTTTTTTCTTTTTTTTGTTCACGATGCCGTCTTTGGGTTGTCAACTTGTGCGACGCCAAACTTGTGACGTTGGGAATTGTACGCGTTGGTTGGCGCCAACGCCATGAATACACGGGCAATAGCTTGACACACACTCCTTTGAATACCCTCCTTTAGCAGTACTGTTTTTCTTTTTCTTTCTTTTTCTTTTTTTTTTCGCCGTCCCGTTTTTTGGTCCGACAATGCGATTGATAATGATGGGAATGATTCCTGCGTATGCGACCTTGTTTGCCGCAGCCGCAGCCGCCGCGGCATCCTCGAACGGAACCATGTTCGCCGCAGCACCGGGTTTATGGAATGACCCCTGCGCGCTGGGCTGCCTCGCGGGGAATACCTGTCCGGGGAGGGACAAGAACTGCCTATGCGATAACGTTGATCTGGTGACTTCGGATGCGTCGAGGGGCTGTCTCCGGGACGGCTGCCCGAATGTGAAAGCTGGTGCGTATCTTGCCGGGTTATTTATCTACTGAAACTTGTCTCGGAGGAGTTGTTGACATTATATGTGCCCCAGACGACGTGGTTGGACAGCTCCGCGGCGAGTGCTCTGGCAAGAAGACGAAGACGGCCAAGGGAAGCCCAGTCGTGTCCATGCAGGAGAGCACCAGCGGTGCCGCCGCGGGATCGAGTCCGACTGTCAACGGCGTCAACTCTGTCGGCGGCTCGAGCCTTGTCCCTTCAAGCCCATCTCCGCCATCCCCGTCGGCGACGGAGGGCACATCGTCCACGGCGTCTGCGGGCTCTCCCGTTGCTCCGACGGCAGCTTCTCCAGGCCCCTGGACGGGCGTTCCCACGGTGATTCTCAACACGTACACGGCGTCTTCTCTGCTATCACAGATATCCGGACTCGTCGTGGCAACTTCCACTCCCCATACGTCAACCGCAAGCACAACCGGCGGCGGCGTCGTCGTCGCCGCCGGCAGTGGCAGCAACGGCGGCCGCAGCACAACGCCCCCTTCGCCAAAGGGCACAACGTCTTCCACGAGCGACCAAGACACAGACTCGCACGACTCCCAACTGTCGGCGGGAGCCAAAGCCGGCATCGGCATCTCCATAGCCGTACTATGCCTCGGCATCATATCGGCCGTGTTCTTCTTTGCCTGGCGAAGACGCCGGGGCCAGAGAAACTCGGGCCTGCGCGAGGACACCATCTCGTGGCTGGGGCACGCGGGGGAGAAACACCGCACGCTGCAGGCAATTCCGGCATTTGGGCCGACGAGGAAAATAGGCGGCGGCGGCGGCGACGGCTTCGGTTCCGGCGGTTTGGCCATGAGTCTCGAGCCCTCGAGCCATTTGACCTACTTGTCGCTCGGGTCCGAGCCGAGCCCTAGGGATGAGATGGGCGGCATCGGGATGGCCCTGTCGTCAGACACGCATGATTTGTTGGACTCGCGGACACTGGTTGCCGAGGGGGATTCAGAGACGCCGCTGCGAGACGGCGACTTGGATAGTCCTGTGATTCCGCGCTTTGTGGTGCCGCACGGGTATTCGCTTGCGTAGGAGGAGAGAAGCGTGAGATGGGATGATGCTTTTTTTTTTCATTTTCTTTCTTTCACCCCCTCTTTTTTACATGGTAATTTTATACATTTATTGACCCGTCTTGGTGTTTGCCCACGTCTCCATGTATGCACGTACATGACGACTCGCGAGTAGAGTCTTGAGCGCATTTTGATTACTCGCCTCCACTTGTACATGCGTTGGGGACGTCCTCGGCAGCATGTCTGTCTTGCACGCACACCATCCTCGTAGTCATGCTGTCGCATCGAGGGGGAATCCATATACACATGTGTATGTATAAGTCGGTACGACATGGGCACACCCGCCGCCTTCACGTGTCGCTTCCCTCCAACCTTCCCGAATTGGTAGGTCGCCAACCGCCCAACCGCCCAACCGCCGTGCCGCCCGTCCGCGGCACAGGCAACTCCGCATTTCAGGGATCCACACCCGACCGCTTTGACTGCGTCCTTATATGATATAACCGTCTCCCATCTTCACCATCCCACGCCCTCACCTCCTCTCTCCTCTCCCGTTGAACAGGAGCATCTTGCATCTTGCATCTTAGAGCGTTTGAGCGTTTATAAGAGTTTGTTTCTCTTTTTTCCCAGCCCCGGCATATCATTTTCCCGCAGCAATGCAAATGCAGTACGAAAAGCAGCCCCCGCCGTCCGAGACACGCAAGACGCAGCCTCGCATCGTCATCCACGGCGGCGCAGGCAACATTGTGCGCGCCAACTTCCCGCAGGACAAATACAATGCGTATCGAGATGCGCTCCTCGCCATAGTCTGTTGACTCCTCGTCACATTCCCTCCCGTGCTTGGGCCCTCCATACACCCTTTTCTAACCCGCCAAGTGAAAACCAAAAATGCAGATCACCAAGACCAGTGAATACATAACCACACCCGTCAAGTCGTCCCAGAAGCCATCAGCCCTGGACATTGCTTGTTACGCAGTCCGCATCCTCGAGGACAACCCGCTCTTCAACAGCGGGCACGGCGCCGTCTTCACCCGCGACGGCATCAACGAGCTGGAGGCGTCCGTCATGGTGTCCCGCGGCCGCGAGAAGCGCGGCGTCGGCGTCATGGGCCTCCGCCACGTCCGCAACCCCGTCCTGCTCGCCAGGGGGGTCCTCGAGCACGGCGACCAGGATCTCGCGCCGCGGGGCCAGGCGTCATGCGCCGCCGCCGCCGTCGCGGGCCACCGTCGCCTCGACGTTCCTTCTGCCCAGGGGCACACGCAGATCTGGGGCCCCGCGGCGGAACAGCTCGCGCGCAGATATGGCCTCGACATGGTCGACCCGAGCTACTTCTTCACGCAGCAGCGGTGGGACGAGCACGTCCGCGCGCTGGAGCGGGAGGGACGGGGTCGCGGGCAGGGGACGTGGTCTGCCGACGAGTATTTGCCGCAGGGCACCTGTGGCGCCGTTGCCCTCGACGAGGACGGCGTCGTCTGCGCGGCGACGAGCACCGGCGGCATGACCAACAAGTTGACGGGGAGGATCGGCGACACGCCCGTTGTGGGAGCCGGCTTCTGGGCCGAGGAGTGGGAGGAGAGCGGTGCTGCTGGGCCTTCGGCATGGGAGAGGCTCACGGCCGCCGTGAGGACTGCGTCGCCCGGTATTTCGCTCGCAGGGCCTTTGAAGGGGCTGTTGGCAGATTGCTTCCCTACGCCCTTCTTCTACTCGCCCCTCCGCGAGCCGCATGGAGAGACGGTCATCTCTCGGGCTATGGGTACGTCGGGCACCGGGAACGGCGACTCGTTCCTGCGCATCAGCGCCGCTCGAACCGTTGCCGCCATGGCGAGATGGAAGCCCGAGAGCACAGCTAGGGCCTTGACAAATGTCGTTGGTCCCGGTGGGGAGTTGCAGCGCAGCGCCGGCGACAGATGGGGGCGTACCGGCGAAGGTGAGGGCGGCATGATTGGGATTGAGAGCATCGTGGAGAGGGATGCAAAGAGTGGCCAGGTTGTGCGCGTCCGTTCAGAGATTGTCATGGACTACAACTGCGGGGGAATGTATCGCGCTTGGGTTGATGACCAAGGGAGGGCCAGGATGAGCATTTGGAGCAACGTCGGTGAGGATCCTGAGAACCGGGCATGATTGACTCATCATGTTTTATTGTGATATAGACGTGTAAGAGGCTGGTGGCACAAGCGCTGGCGCCATGTATATAGAATCATTCAACTCGAGCCGTCAAGTTGGATCGATTGACATACATTTATACCAGAGGGCATTTCAAAGTCATCATCGTGTCCACTCTTCTTTGGCCTCGCATGCCTGTTGGCTGATTCCGATTTTATCTGAAGAAATGTTTCTTGTATCTTTTCTGTTCTTGAGTCAATGGTTGTTCCCATTCCCGAATAGTGTACACTGTAACGCCGATGTGATGCGAATACATATCAGCTTCCACCACCTACAGCCAACCAAACATTCGGTTGTCAGATAGCATGATGCGTAACTCTCCCGAAGTTTTCGTTTCAAATCCTAATCCATGATCCTTGCTGCAACGAGAGACCACCGAACAAGACCGCTTGTGTTCAGTTTGAACCATCCGGGCCCGGCATTGTCTGTTCGCTAAGCAAGCCAAATCAAACCGTTGTAAGGGAAATCCCTAATTTAAACCAAAATATTGAGGAAAACATGTCGCAGTTTAGAGTTGAGAGTGGCGCGTGTCATCGTAAACCGATAAATCCCAAGGACTACCAGTCATCAGACCCCATCCCCGGGATGTTCCAAGAACTCTCATCGCGCCCGCAGTGCTCTTGAAAGTCGTAGTTGTTTTAATTTCCTTTCGTCTCGCATCATGGCTCATTACAAGCTTGCGTTCTCCATGCTAGGCGGGGGCTGCGGCATCTCCAGTTTCGTCCCACCCGACAACATCTTGGAAAAGGCAATGCCAACACCCTCAATGACAGCAAGCAGGACTGCACAGCCAATGGCATTATTGCGAGCCGCCTTGAAACCGCCGCGAAAAGCAAGAGAGCCACCGACAAAGAAACCAGCAATAATGGCGTTGTACGGGTCCTCCTTCTTGCGAATGCCCTTGATGGCGCAGTCGTAGGTCGAAAAGAGGCCACCCCAGACACCAAAGTTACCGCCAAGAACAGGTGCGCGCATCTTTATGGCGGTGATGGCGCCGATACGTCGTTCGCCGTAGGGAGAATTGCGGAAACCTTTGACACCATGCCAAATGGTACCTCCGATGGCCTGAAGGTCCAGGATTTAAATTAGCCCCAAGCCGGTCACACGCAGAGCAAAGTCAATCTTTGCAAAGAAGAAGAAAAATCGAGTTGACAAACGAAATTCATCGGGGGAGGCCTACACCCATGCAGAAAGCACCGCCAAAGTCATTAAAGATGACCCAGGGGCAGGGATCGCGTCCGTGGTCCATGGTGTCCGATGGAGTAAATGCCGAGCTGTGAGATGCGATTTGTTGCGAATTCAAGGTAGATGGTCGAGTATGCCCTCAGAGGAAGAAGGCTGAGCAGCTGCTTCCTATGGCGATTGCTGGGTGCCGCTCGAGAGGTGAGGCGGGTAGGTGGAGGATTTTGTGCTGGAAGAGAATTGTTTTGGAGATTGTCGGCATCTATCTTCTGGGGATGACACTCGGGGAAGCGGGATCCACTATTCTTGGCTTCTTGCTTATGTAAGGAGGGACTGGAGACTGCGTGTTTCCGCTCCGCACCTTAAATACCCGTCGGCGACCAAGTGGTAGAAGCATGTTCGTGAGAGGGTCAAGTCGAGGTCTGCACAAAACCTCTTTAAAGTCATAATTGACGGATGAAACAATATTTACAAATTATAACATAGATGGGCCAGTCTTCAAACGGCTAAACCCCAAGCTTGTCCTGTCCTCGCTCATATTAATCCGCGCCACCGGTTGGAGCAGGCCTGAGCAACCCCAGACCTGTTGCAATTAGGCAAAATGTCGCCCCTTATCCAGATATAGACTCCATGATTACTGAATTATACAGTCCCCCCCGCAAGCGCATATGTACGTAGAATTCCTCTCCTGCTTCGTGCGCCGAGATACCTCGAGTGTTCTTGTGGTACAGCTTCCGGCTCCATGCAAGACCAACTACCCAAACAGGCTCGCCGAAGACGAGAAGTATCCGGTCCCACTTTCAAAAAAAGGAGCTAGAACATTAAATGTGAACCTAGACACATATAAAAGCGGTGGTTAAAGACTACTTTACTCTGGTACTCTTCACTCTTTCCCCTGAAACTGCTCTTGATCTTTTCCGTCCCTACCTTTCCCCGTCCTACTTCGTCGTATATAGTCTCGCACGCTCGGTGGCCTACACCAATGCCTCTCAAAGTAGTTGCTGCGTGTGCAGAGGATGCTGCCCGTGCCGTGGCGATAGAAAACCTCGCATATGGCCCAAACCCATATAGCGCCGCTTTGTTTCCCGGGCCATTCCCACCTGGGGGAGATGATTCGCGTGTAAAGATGCTAATACACCAGCTCGAAGAAGACCCTGCCTGTCGCTGGGCCAAGGTAGTAGACACGGAGCTTGAAGCTGAAGGACATGATGGTATGATTGCTTTTTCCAAGTGGTATATCTGGGAAACGCCCAGGGACACCTTACCTCCTACTCGACAGTGGGGGCCGGGTACAAATCCAGAAGCCTGTGAGCTTTTCTTCGGCGGCATGAGGCGAGAGTGGATTCAGAGGATGGCTAGCAAGCCTCATGTTTGTAAGCACCTTGGGCATTTCTCAGCCCAGATGTAGCACATGTTGCTAACTCTCTCTGTTTCCTAGACCTAAAGCTTTTGCATACAGACCCTAAACATCAAAGACGGGGAGCCGGGTCTCTGCTGCTCAAATGGGGCACCACGGAAGCCGATCGTCTCGGATTGCCTGCCTATCTCGAGTCCTCAGAGGAGGGTTATGCCCTGTACGAGAGACACGGGTGGCGGGAGGTTGGCAAGTTGGTAGTTGACCTGAGTAAATGGGGGGGCCCTTCTGACACAATCTCGACGCTAATGTTGAGAGAACCAGTA